ACCCCAGGCTTTGGGGGTTCACTCCAGGGCCCCCCTGGTGTCACTCGTGGGATCCCATCTCTGTGGAACCAGCTCCTGCTTCTCGTGGAGGGGGGAGAGAAAAAGGGGGTCCTGCCCACCCCCTGCACCCCCTCGAACCAAACGTGGCTCTTTATTTCCACCCTTGCTGGACTTGAAGCCACCTTGGGCACCGAAGGTGACACAGGCACCAGGTGCTGCCCAGCCAGGGGGTTGATGCCAGCAGAGCCAGGTGGTGTCACCTGGGGGGCCCGTGCTGGGCTCCTGGGCACAGCCCACCCCTCACTGTCCCACCAGGTCCCTGCCAGCCCCTCTGTGACCTCCCTGCTCCCACCCCCCCAGCCCAGAGCCCCAAATCTTCACTCCCAAATGTGGCCAAAGGGATGAGGAGCAACACCAGGGGCAGGAGCTCAGGGCATTTCTGTGGGGTACAAAGTCACCTAACACAGCCCCCCCCAGGGGGTCTCTCTGTTCTGTCACAGGGGAAAGAAAAAATAAAGGAGGGCAGTGACATTCGGAGAGGTTTTTCTTTTACTGAAAGAGTGGCAAGAAAAGTCCAGAGCAAGAAGAAAAGCCCAAAGGCAGAGCCCTGGGCAGGGGGTGGTTCCCCCAGGCCTGAGCTGCCCCCTCATGCTCTGGGCTCCCTCTGGCTCTTTCCAGAAGGAAACGTGTCCCTGCTGGAGGGAACGACGCTGGCACGGAGGGGCTGGAAAGCAAAGGAACACCCAGCTCTGGGGAACACATCCCAGTGGATATTCCCAGTGGAAACTGGTTAGATCCCATCCCTGCTGCAGCCAGGGACCTTCATCAGTCCTGTACTCACTGGAGTCCCCGGGGAGGGAAGGGGGACGTGGAGGATGCTCCTCTGGCAGCAAAGGAGGGTCCTTCATGAGGTGCAACAGAGGAGAGGGGAGCAGCTGCTCTGCTGGAGGAGAAACCAAGGCTGTTCCACCTCTGGGGAACGGTCCATCTTTTTCCCCCCCACATAAGACTAAACAAAAAATGCCTTTCAAGTCAGCAATGATTCACTCAAGGACAGAATGAACAGGCCTCTTGCCCTACCAGATAAGTGCAGAGCAAAGAAGCAGCACAAGGGTTGCAGAAATATAAACAATAGATTAAAAACTGCTCCTAACAGAATATGTACCTGGCCCATGGTGATTGGCTAATTCAGACAGTACTTTCTCAAACAGTGGTCTCTGGTCCATAAAAAGAGAGCAGAACCTGCTCTGTTTCCTGCCTGCCTGGGACAAGACCCCCCTGCAGCACCTGAGCCTGCCTGAGTGCCCCTCTGCTGCGAGGAGAACGTCTGTGCCCGCTCCTGGGGACCCTGCCTGCCCAGCCTGCACCGAACCGGACCGGAGGAGCCTGCCCAGCCTGCACCGAACCGGACCGGAGGAGACTGCACAGCCTGCATCTGCCACAG